TGTTTAGCTTTTAATTATTCATATACAGCGCGCCAAGGAAGCAGATAGCCCATATCCCAGAGAGTGGGTGAAAGAGCTTTTCTCTGCAAAGGGATTTTAATTGGTTTTAAAATGTGTTGTGTGTTTATATTTGCGCATGTGAGAGAGTCGAGCCTTTGGTTTCTCCTCTCCTTGATGATTACGTTACATTATTTCTCACCTCTTCCTTTTTTTTTTTTTTTTTTTTTTTTCTTATTTATCTTGGGCTTAAAAAAAGCAAAATCGGAGCTGAGATTCTGCCTCTGCTTTTGAACTCGAGGAGCTGGGAAACAGCGCTGCCTTTTCACGGGGATTTTCTCCTCCTTGAAACCTTAGAGGCAAAGCTGGAGGGGAGGCCACCTCTCACCTCCTTGCTTTCCAGCTGGCAGACAGAGCTGAGCACCTTGTGCCAGGTGGGAGCACATGGCACAGGGCACATGGCACGTGGACCCCCGGCCTGGGGCCATCACCCCACAAGGACCCCAAAGTGCTGCTCATGGATTCTCCTCCAGGGCCTGGGATTTCCCAGGGGCTGACTGAGCTGTAGACACCTAAGCAAAGAAGGCATCCATCCTCTTCACCATCCCGTTATCAGAGCACCCACCACACTCAGCATCCGGTCCACGTTATCCTTAGTCGTCCTTTTGCTGTTGACACGCTTGAAGAAGCCTTTATTGACACAGACTTAATTCCAGGTGGGCCTTTAGCCTTTCTTGTCACGTCCCTGCAGGCCCTTCAGCATCCCTATATTCCTCCAAAGTGCCCAGGCCCTTTTCCCACGTTTCATAGAATCATAGAATTGCTCAGGTTGAGGAAAGACCTTAAAGATCATCAAGTCCAAATACAACCTACCCATACAACCCTAAAAACCTTCTGCTAAATCACGTCCCTAAGCAAAGGTTCACAGACTTTCCTCTTCCCTTGGAGCTTACCACGAGCACCTTGCTCACCCGTGCAGGTCTCCTGATTTCTTGCTCTTAGGGATGTGCCAATCTTGAGCTTGGAAGAAGTGATGCCAAAATGTCAACCAGCGCTCCTGGGCCCCATTTCCTTCCAATGCTGCAGCCCATGGGGGTTCTAAGTTCCAAGTTGGTCCTTGAAGAGATGAAAGTTGGCTCCCCTGAAGCCCAGCACTACAATCTCACTTGTTGTAGGCCATGGTGGTGGTGGTGTTTGGGAAACACGTAGATGTGGCACTGTGGGACCTCATGGAGGGCAATACTGGCGGTAGGTTGGACTCCTCTGTGGATCTCAGAGGTCTTTCCCAACCTTAATGACTCCATGGCTCTATGATTATCGCCTTGCTTCTTCCACATGAGATCCTGAACGCCGCTACATCCCAGACCAGATGGTCTTCAGAGCTTCCTGCACCCACCCAGCACTGGCCACACCACGGTCCCCTCCAGCACTGCAGTACAATTCTCTTTCCCAGTGCATTCCCAGTGCTGCAGATGAGGGCTGGGAAGAGGGAGGGCCTTTCCTGGCTCAGGTGCTGGAGAGACATCTCCTGCGCTGCTATTTCACCTTACCTTTCCTTGCCACATCTGTCAACTTCTGCTAATTACCGAGTTTGCTATCACCCTCCACACTGATGTGAAGGGTAGGAAAAAGAGAAAAAGGAGGTTAAGGGATTCTACAATTATAAATGATGTCTGGCAGGCTAAGGTACCATATAATGCATTATAAGCACTTAAAAAGCTAACCCATTCTGTCTTCTTTCTTTGGCATAAATAATGGCTTTTTTATGAATAAATCATGCAGCCAAGGTCTCTGAAAATAGCAGGAACCTGGAGCAGAATGTCTCCATCCTCATTTTTGCTAGGACAGCAGAGAAGTCAGCACTCCACTCCATCACCGCCGATAAAGTGGGGTGAGCGCAGCTCCCGGGAATGAAATAGGGAGATAAAGTTTCGGGAGGGTGAGTGGGGCAGGGGGGATTTTTCTGCCAAAGCACCGATCGCACCCGGGCTCCAAATGAAGCATAATGGACTCTTAGGAGATAAGCATTTTTTCCTGCCCCATGAATAAAGCAAGACCTCATAACTCACAGACAGGCAAAGCTGCCAGCAACTTGAAAGTGCTTCCTTCTGCTTCTGGTTTGTGTTTCCTTTTAATGAAGCTCCGAGGAGCCGAGAGGGGGGGAGGGGGGGGGGGCTCAGAAGTGGGGCTGGAAGCGAGCCCTGCCTTTGCGTGTGTGCAGTCCGGCGCGCGGCGGGCGGCAGCCACCCAGCACAAAGGGCTCACAGCTGCACGGCTGGGGGGGCTGCAGCCTCTGGGGGGTGTCTGGGGGGAGCGGAGCCCCACAGCTTGCTGGGCTCCACCGTGGGGGCACACAGGTATCTCCCATGGGGGCCACCCAGCTGGTGGTGGGGTGGCTTTGGGGTGGGTGTGAAGGATGGATGCGGCCAAGGTTTGGGGTGACGTGGTGCCATATCTCAGCCACCTCCTGAGCTGCAGCACTGAGAGCTGAGTGTGCAGCCCTCAGTGCTCCTGGGCAGGGGGCTTCCTGCCCGGGCTCTACACAAAGCAGGGCAGCAGGGTGAGAGCAGGGGCAGCCCAGTATTCTGAATGGGACGGGGGCACACGTCACCCCGTCAGCCATCCCTCAGCCCCCATGGGATGCATCACTAGGCTGCAGATGTGTTTGCAGTGGAGTCCCTTCCATGCAGGGAAGTGCAGCTGGAACAAAACAGCAGAGTAACTCCCGGCAAGAGGCTCAATGTGGGGACGGATCCACGAGCCCTGTGCAGGTCTGAGTGCCCACCATGCTGGTGGCTTTGGGACGGCGTGCATCCTTCTACACCCAGGGTGCAGCCGGGATGGTGCAGGGTGGGAAAGCAGCATGCAGCCCCCAGGCCAGGTGGCTGGGCTCCTTCCTTGGGCTGCGTTCAGCAGAAGCAGCTTGTGATGTTTCTCCTTCTCCCTGGGGTGGGCTGCTCATTTTTGCCCCATAAGACAATGCCCTCTTTCAAAAACAAAGAAATTATAAAGTACATATGAACATATGGTAACATATATTCTGGGCTGCCTATGTGGCCAATTTTCTGTATGTTACCATATGGTGCCGCGTATTTAGCAAAAATATAACTTGACTGTTTCTCTTTCCATATGGGGATTCTTTTGCCTTAATTAATAACATTGAGCAAAAACTCTTTCTAAGGTTTCCAAGATTTCTGCAAGGGAATATCTTATGACAGACACATGCTCCTGGAGGCTTTCCTCCCCATGTGCCTGCAGCCTCCTGTCCTCATCCTCCTCCGTGTGCTCAGAGAAGGGCTCAGCTCCATTCCCTGTCCCATGGGCACCGCCGTCCCCTCTCTGTTTGCCTGCCCCTTCCCACTGAAGCCCTGTGTGAGCTGCCCACGCTGGCGGTCAGCTCTGCACCTTCAGCCTTGCTCTCCATCCCTGCTCTCACTGAGCTCAAATCCCGCTCAGGTGTCGGTCCATCCCACTGCCACCCTCATCACACTGGGCTCTGTAGTGGTTCCCACAGCCCAGAGCTCAAGCAGAGCAGGCAGACGTGGAGCTGGTGACCGACACACGTGGAGCTGGTGTGGGAGTGGGGCAGGCACAGAGACAAGGGATCGTGCAACCGTAGAATCACGGAGGTTGGAAAAGAGCCCTGAGATCAGCACACCCTACTGTTGTCCCATCCCCACCATGCCCGTTCACAGAACCATAGGATCATTAGAGTTGGAAAAGATCTCCAAAATCATCGAGTTGAGCCATCAACCCACCATCACCATGCCCACTCAGTCATGGTCATCGAGGCTGGAAGAGAGCTCTGAGATCCCCATGTCCCATCCCCACTAACAGCATCTCTCAGCGCCACTTCCCCACAGTTCTGGAACTCCTCCAGGATTGGTGACCCCCCCACTCCCTGTGCACTGTGTGCCAATGCATCACCACTCTACCAGAGAAGACATTGTTCCTACTATCCGACCTGACCATCCCATCTGTTTCATGGGAAGGGAGCTGATGCTGAGGGTGAGGATGTCCCTGGACTGGGCTAGGGTTGAGTGAGAAATCAGTTTTCCAAGAAGGAAACCCACCCAGGAGCCTTGGCTCCAGCGCTGCGTTTCTGGAAGGCATTGAGCACATGGGGATTTCCAGAGCCCTGGGAGAAAAGTGGAGGTTGGCCTCATATTTTAAAAGGGGAAACAGGACGACGCGGGTAATTACAAGTCTGTCAGCCTGACATTGATCCCAGGCAAAATAATGGAAAGGCTGATATGGAATGCAATGAATAAAGAATCAGAAAGGGTGATATAATTAATGCCAATCAACAGGGATTTATGGAAAATAGATCCTGTCAAACCAACTTGATGTCTTTCTTCCGGTTGTTCTTTTCCTTAATTTCTTTCTTTTGCTAAGATGACAAGTTTCCCCAGCGAGGTGCTGGGGTTCACTGAGGACACGGAGCACAGCAGAGTCTCACAGCTCCTGGGGTGAAGGTGCTGCTCCTAGTGAGCATTACCCGGGCACTATGGAAGCCCCCAGACTCTTCCTGGTGTCACTTTTGGTTTAACCCCGACCTCTCCAGCCCTGGTTCTGCCCCTTGGCCCTATATAACGCAGAGCTGACCCTTCTCCAGCAGCAAGACCTGGGAAGCAGTGAGAGGCAGCTGGCTCTGGTGTCCCCCCAGCTGACACCACGAGTGCCCTTGAGCCCATCACCACCCATAGAACTGCAGAATGGTTGGGTTGGAAGCCCACCCAGTTTCAACCCCACTGCCGCAGGCTGGATGCCCCCATTGGGTTGGGTTGCCCCATCCATGGTCTCGTGCATCTCCGAGGATGGGGCACCCACAAACAGAAAGCTTCCCCAGAAGGAGAACCGAGAACTTCCAGCACAGGTGGCTGCACAAAAGGGAGTTTCCAGGCCAGTACTGCACCCAAGGAATCCCTACACCCAGTGGGAGCAAGGCGTGAGCATCCCCAGCCCAAACACGTGGAAGCACCAAAGCCAGCAGCCTGACCTCGTCATATTTAAAACAGTTTTATTCATGAAAATATGCTGTACAATGCACTATACACAGTTCTTTACATTGCCACATACACAAACTCTAATAGCACAACCAAGAAAGTTACCATTGCCATACGATAGATGCGTGGTGAGAGATGACGCCTGTCAGAGACCCTCCCCCCCAGTCTGTACAGTTATAAATACGAGGGAAAGGATGGACCGAAGCCACTGGATGAAGAAAGCTGGTGGGACCCCTCAGCGTCCCCTGGCTCGGTGGGTGCAGAGCTGCAGGCTGTGGGGCGGGGGTCAGGGGGGAGGTTGGGGTGGGGTGGGCAGCGTTCTGGGAACTGTTTGCAGAGATGGAAAGCCAGCAGTGTGGGCACGGGGCGATGGGAGCACCCTATGGGCACAGCCATGTGCCACACGCCCAGCTCCAGCCTTCCCCATTCCCCATCCCACCCAGAGCCCCCCCGGCTCCTGCCTGACTCTCCCGGGCTGTTTTTGGGGGGGGCTCAGCCCCCGCTGCGCTCCATCCCTCGCACCTCACGACCACTGTACACACGACGCTTAACCAACACGACTCCACCGCACACACGACAACCCCACGGTCACGAACCACAAAGACAGCTTCGCGACGGGACCCCCCCCCCCCCCCGGGGGGTGCGAGCGGGGCCGGGGGCTTTTCTCATCCTTCGGGGGCTTCAGAGGGTCCCTGTACATGGGGCATCCCCGTCTGTGTGCCGGGTGCTGGTGAGCTGCTGGCTGTGCCTACAGAACCGCCACTTGGGGGGCACACAGGGCAGGACCCCCCCCCTTTCTCCATTGCCCTCCCCACCTCTCCACGTGCAGAGCTGGGGGGGGGGGGGGGGCAGGGATTGCACTGCGATTGCAATCGGTTTCCAATGACTGAAACGTGCCTGAAACAAGAGGTGGTGGTACAAAAACGGATGATCCTGACCCAAAGAATAATCCTTTTTTTTAAAAAAAGCATTCGAGAAAGATTATATATAATAGAATATATTAAATTCTGTACATGATCAAATAATGTAAACATAATTAATTAACCTGTAAGAATGTCTTTAGAGACTACGCCCGCCACGTGCCCGGGCCAGAGGTGAATGGTGGCACTGCTCTGCCAAACCCAGAGCTGGGGGAGGCACAGAGGGTGCCCACCCATGGGCCCCAGTGGGACCACCAAGCGGAACCAGCAGCACGGTGAGGAGGCAATGCTGGAGCCAGCAGGGAAGAGCTGAGCTGAGACAACGTGCAGGCTCAGCAGAAGGAGCCCTGCTGCATCCCATGGATGCCCAGAGCAACCCCCACTGCAGCCCCCAGCTCCTGCTGTCGGTCCCAGCACCCAGCCCCACTGGGACAGGTGGTGGACGCAGCTCTGTGCTGCACAAGCACTGCTGTGGCCTCCTCCTCCCCTCCCCAAGCTCGACCCTTCCTTCCAACGCAAGAACTCAATGGCAAAAGAGTGCATGAAATCAAATAAATACACCCCCCCTCCCCAACCCTGGGACTGCCCCCGGCTCATGCACAGGGCACCCAGCTCCAGCACTGACACCACAGCACAGCCCACACCAGGCAGGCAGCGCCAGCACCGCACACAGAGCCGCCAGCCAGACTGCCCATGGCACTGCAGAGTGACCACGGCACTGCAACAGAAACATGACACAGACTGTGATCATGGCACTGCAGCGTGGCTGTGACACTGCAGTGTGGCTGTGGCACTGCAGCATGGCCATCACTGTGACCACAGCACCGCAGTGTGACCACAGCAATGTGTGCACAGCACTGCAGTGTGACCAGGGCACTGCAGCACGATCACAGCACTGCAGCACGACTGCTGGCACACACAGTGCACACGTGCTGTTGCACCCTTCCCTCCATCACCAGCCCTTCTTGCTTGGCCCCTGCACCAAGCAGAAGGACCTGGGCGCATGCGCAGAGCTCAGGTCCCATAAGGGTTTTGGAGGTGATGAAGCCCCCAGCCTGGGGCAGGCTCCCTTCTACTGGCACTGCTGCTTGGAGGACTCACTTTCTAAGGTGTCTCCAAGCAAAGTGTTCCCCATTCCAGAAAGCAGTACGCACAGAGCAAGTCTCCACATCACCAGCTGTCCCTGCTCCTCCACCCGGCCCGAGGGCCACCGGCGCAAGGACAGGCCAAGCTGAAACTAGTGCTCGGACCCTCTGGGGAGGGGTTCCCTTTCTGCTGCCCTTCCTGCCTGCCCCCAGCGCCCACCCCATCTCCATCCAGGACCCTAAGGTTTGTGTTTCATCACAAGTTTGACCCGATGGCTCTAGCCCATCTTAACAAATAAAGGCAGAAGAGAAAGGAAAAAAAAAGAAGTTTGTCTCAGCGTTCCCCTGGTGACATCCCGGAGGCGGGCGCCAGGCGGGGGTCACCCGGGCACCCAGCTCTGGTTCGTGGGCTGCGGGCCACCAGGCAGCGTGGGCACATTGAGCGCGTTCTGCGGCGGGAGTGCTGAGTCAAAGTTGAAGTCCATCTCATCGCTGTCCATGAAGTCATTCAGGATGATGGACTCCACGTCGCACTCCAGGCTCCCATTGAACATGTCCAGGTCCAGGTCTGCTGGAAACCTGTCCTGACCCAACACCGGGGGGTGGACAGCCCCCACGTAGGGCGAATCCAGCAGGCTCATGTGCGCCCCTTGGTTGGCAGCGTAAGGGTGCAGGTGCCCGTGGTGCGGCATGGCCGTTGCGCCGCATGTGTCACCGGGCAGGCTCATAAGGCTGACGGGGTTGGCTAAGGCACTGGCATTGAGAGCGGGGTGGTGGCCGGCGGGCGGTGGGTGGTACAGAGCACTGCCCTTCAACAGCGGGGCCGGGTGGGCTGGGTAGGCCATGCCCTGCTCCCCGCACAGCAGTGGGCTCTGTCTGTGGCCGCGGGACGGCACCGCAGGGCCGGGCGGTGGAGGGGGCAGATCCCCCGGCACCATGCTCTCTTTGTGCGCGTAGGAGATGGAGGAGAGCAGATCCTGCAGCGAGGAGGCGTTCCGGTAGGAGGCGGCGGGCGAGAAGGTGGCCTGCTTGTTCTCCTGGATGGTCTGCATGGGCAGGCGCCGCATCAGCCCCATCGCCGGCTGGCTGTAGATGGTCCCACAGTACGTGTTGGCAGCCGGCCCCATGCTGGAGCACTTGGAGTTGAAGGAAAAGCTGGAGCTGCGTTGGCGCAGGGGCAGCGGCTGCGAGGGGCTCATGCTGTAGCCGTCCTGCAGGTCCTCCAGCAGGCTCTCCCCCAGGCTCTCCCCCAGGCTGATGGTACCGGTCAGGTCAGTGAGTCGAGGCAGCTCGACGGAGCAGCGGGCGCTCAGCGAGGGGGACACGGTGCTGGAGGGGCTGGGGTACATCAGCGGGGAGGACGGCGTGCCATCGTCCTCCTCCAGCTCGTCGGGCTCACGGTTGGCCATGATGGGCGAGAGGCGCCCACTCAGCGTGCTGGCCGAGGAGCCAGCTCTGGTCCTGAAGTCCGCCCAAGCGTCGTACTCATCGCTGGCGTGGGACGCGGGGCTCTCCGACCACTTGGCCTGCTGCGAGCTCGGGCTGTCGTCCCCACGCTCCGGCGTCACCTGCAGCTGCTTCTTCTTGCTGGCCTTGCCTTTGATGCGCAGGAACTTGCTGTTGTTGTCCATGGAGACCGCCCGCCGGCGCGGCGTCTTGCCCGTCTTGCCACCCTCGGGGTTCAGCATCCACCAGGAGCTCTTCCCCGTGCCCTCGTTCTGCACGCGGATGAAGCGGGTGTGCAAGGAGAGGTTGTGCCGGATGGAGTTCTGCGGGGAGAACAAGCAGAGGGGACGTCAGGGGGGGACTGCGCCCGCGGAGGGGAGGAAGCCAAGCGAGGGAGGAGAATGTCTCGGGCCCTGCAGCTCGTGGGATGCCGCTGCAGCTCCCTGCTTCCCCAGGAGGGGTGCAGAGGGACGCGGAAGGGGAAGGAACCAAGGTGCTGGGGAGAAAGTTTGGTGCCATCGCCGGCGTACAGCGGAATACTAATGAAGAGGCGAGTGAGCTCCAGCCTCATCTATCATATTATGTAATGGCTTACTTCTCTGCACTTCATTTATTTGGAGATTGCTCCCAGGCTGGCTCCTCGCCAGCAGCCACCAAATCCAAGTCTACAGAAATCAATCTCGCGCTGACTGATTAAGCCGTGTTTAGAACTAATTGCTCCTTCGTGTGTGGGGAGAATAAATTACGGGCTTTAATTTCACGTCTTTAAAATGCAACTGCAGGTATGGGCTGGCCATTAACCCCTTCCTGCACGGCCCTGGGTACAGCTGGGGAGGGGGCGGGCAGAGGGGATGAGATGGGACACAATGCCGCCTCCAGCATCGAGAGGTTTCCCTGTCCCCGAAGTCCTCCTTGGGGACACCTGACAGCCCAAGCCTTGCACTGTGCCACCGTGCTGCAGTGCGAACTGCAGGGGACTGGAGCGGAGCACGCAGCATCGTCATGATTGCAGAGCCAGCAGCAGCGTGATGCCACTTTGTCCCCACACACTGGGACACGTGGGGGCTTGGGAGACACCCAGGGGTTGGGGACACCCTGAAGGTGGGGATACCCAGGGGTCAGGGGCACCCGGGGGGTTGGGGACACCTTCAAAAGGACTGTTGGGATGTGACCCACCCAGGGCTTGGAGACACTCTGAGGCTGGGAACACCCAGGGCATGGGGGCGCCCTGTTACGGACCATAGCGATGTGACACACCCAGGGGCTGGGGGCACCCAGAGCTCGGGACAACGTGGGCTGGGGACACTCAAGGTTGAGGACACCCAGGTGTCGGGTGCCCCCATCCCCCTTCTCTGCCTGCCGTCTGACACCCAAATCTCAGCACCCCACCCCTCGCCCTGCCCCCCCACAGCGGAGCGCGGGACCCTCCACCCCCAAAGCCCCCACGGAGTCCCTTCTCCCCGCCGCCCCCTCCGCCGAGCCGCATTGTCAGGGGAGCGGGCGGTGTGAAATCGGTCTGATTAGCAATTAGTCCCATTGTGAGAGGATTAGCCGGACCCCATTGTTTGGCGGAGCGACTGCCGGGCGATCTGCATCTGGCAGCGCCGGGAGGGCCGTCCGTCGGGGGCTGGCGGTGGGGCCGTGGGGGGCACATGGGGAGGAACCCCCGGCCCGGCCACCCCCCCCCCTCCGCGGGACCCCAACACGGCCGCTAATGAGTGCTCGGCCGCACGAGTGCGGTTCCGGGGTTAATTGGTGCTGATTTACTCCTCTTACACAAAAATTGCCACTATCGCTAGGAGGGTCCGCGGGGACACCACGCCTGGTGGGGGAGGGGGGGGCACGGGGCAGGCAATGGGGCACTGATGGGGGGGGGGGGGTGACACCGCCTCGTAGCACCGCTTACCAGCAGCCCTCTGGCCACGCCGCATCGCCTCATGCCCAGCCTCAAACCCTGCAGTACCCCATGGCCACATCTGCGCTGCGCCCCATAGCATTGCGCACAAACCCACAGCACCGCTCCGCCCGCGCCCCACCTATAGCATCCTACCACACCCTGCAATCCCCATAAGTGCCCCATGGGCACACGGAGGAGCAGTCCCACTGTGCCCTCCCCAGGGCGGGGTTGGCAGGGATGCTCCCGGGAAGGGCACCGCGGCCGTGTCCCCCCCTCCTCCCTCCCTCCCCCCGGGCAGCCCCACGGGGGTCTCGATGGAGGCGAGCGTATTCGGGTCAGCGCTCCGGCTGAGCGGAGCGGGGCTGACGCGCCGCTAATTGAACCAAATGCCCATTAGCGGCGTGACGGGCCGCGTCCGCGCAGCCCCACTGCAGGTGGTGACACGCAAGGAGCGCAGCGGTGGCCTGAAAGCCGTCACCGCAGCTCCTGCCCCGTCTCACGCCGCCGCCGTCTCTCATCACCCGATGGGGTGGGGAAAAGGTCGGCCGGGGACGGGGCCTCAGCGCAGCCAGACCCAAAGGGACGGGGATGGCGCGGGGTGGGGCTGCCCTCCATCCCCAGGAGGTGCCACCGGAGCGGAGGCGGTCGAGCAGCCCTCTCCCGGCGCTGGTCTCTCTGCTGCCACACAGCTGGTTGCTACCCAAGCTCTGCAATGGGAGTGATGCCGTTGCCATGGCAGCGGGTTGATTTTTTAGCAGCTGCCATCACTCCGGGGCCCCTCCGAAAAGGACAGCATCCGCCTCGGGGTCCCACCGTGTCCCCGTCCCCGCAGCCCCGCCGTGTCCCCCAGAGCACCCATAGCGATGGGACCCCCAGACACGTCACCCCACCCCTGCTCGTGCCCTAGCGTCGGGTGTCCCCTTGGCCCGGACCCCTCTGGGACACCTCGGGAAGACCCCCCCCCCCCCCATCAGCCACTTATCCGTAATGCTCTAATTACACCCCAGAGCTGCCCACCGAAATAGCTGCAGTAAATCACACCGAGCTGCCGTGTAATTTTTGCATGAAATTACAGTGTTTTTTCCCCTGGGTTCAATTTTCTCTACACCGCGTTCCTCCCGCAGCCCAACCGCCGCAGCCGCTCCCCGCTCACCTCCCACTGCACAGCCCTGCAAACCCCACACAACCCCAGCTGGGTGTCCCAGCCATGCACTGCCCTCCTGCCCCAAAGCAGAGACCCCAAACTCTACTCCAGTGCGATGCGTTGCCTGCTGCAATGCCAGCATCCCCTGCTCCAATCTGTTTCCTTCCCCCCCCCCCCGAGACCTTCCTTGCTCCAACCCCAATGTCCCTCTTTGCTCCAACCCCAATGCCCCCCCTACCCCAACCCCAATGTCCCCCTGCTCTCCAATATCCTCCTGCTCCAACCCCAATGTCCTTCCCTGCTGCAACCCGATGTCCCTCCCTGCCTCAATTCCAATGTTCTCCTGCTCCAAACCCAATGTCCTCCTGCTCCCCAATATCCCCCTACCCCAACCCTAATGTCTTCCCTGCTCCCCCCAGTGCCCCCCTGCCCCAACCCCAATGTCCCCCTGCTCCCCAATATTCTCCTGCCCCATTCCCAATGTCCTCCTGCTCCAACCTGAGCGTTCCCCTGCTCCAACCCTCATGTCCTCCCTGATCCCCAGCGTCCTCCTGCTCCAACTAGTGTCCCCCTGCCCCAATCCCAATATTCCCTTGCCCCAACCCCTGTTCCTCTGCTTCAACCCCAATGCCCCTCTATCCCAACCCCAATGTCCCTCCCTGCCCCCCAGTGTCCCCCTGCTCCAATGCCAATGTCTCTCCCTTGCCCCAACCCTGATGTCCCCCTGCTCCAACCCCAGCATCCTTCCCTGCTGCAGCCTGATGTCCCTCCCTGCCCCAACCCCGATGTTCCCCTGCCCCAAACCCAGTGTCCTTCCCTGCTCCCCATGTCCCCTTGCCCCAATCCCAATGACCTCCCTTCCTCCAACCCCAATGTCCCCCTGCTCCCCAAAATCTTTCTGCTGCAACCCAAAGTCCCTCCCTGCCCCAACCCCGATGTCCTCCCTGCTCCTCAGTGTCCCCCCTGCTCCCCAACCCACGTCCCTCCCACTTCCACCCCCTGTGCCCACACACCATGGCACTGACATCCCCCCAAAACACCAACAAAAACCCTACAAAAAATACACAGAGATCAACGAGGTCTCCATGGGACAGGAGTGGCACAACGTCAGCGCCCAGGACAGGGCACCCACGAGGCACAACGTGAGTGGGCACCAGGATGTCACTGCAGGGACCCACAGCAGCACTGCTGCACTGGGTGCTGCTGCCCCATAGGTTACCCATAGGATGGCAGCAGCGACAGCGAGCTCTGACTGGAAGCCATGCACACACATGTGCACACCCACACACCCATGCATGCACTCAAGTGCACACCCATGCACATTCATGCATGCACCCGTGCACAGCCACATGCACAAAGCCCTGCACGCATGCCCATGTGTACAGCCATGCACACAGCCATGCACACAGCCAGGCAGGCAGCCCCACACCCTTGCACACCCATGCACACACACAGGCACACAGCTCTGTATGTGCACATGCCCACACCCTTGCATGCACACCCCCATGCACATGCACACACACCCTGCACGCATCCACTCATGCACACCCGTGTGACCAAACATGCACATTCCTGCATGCACACCCATGCACACACACACTGCAATGCCCCCCTCGCCCCCCTCCCCCCCCCAGGCACGGCTGCTCCAGCTGCCAGATCAACCCATGTGGCAATGGGAGCAAAGCACAGCTCTGATGGGTGCACAGAGCCCTGCCCAGCCCTGCTGCTCAGCCCTCCACCCCACAACCCGCTCTGGGGGCACCAGGACCCCCATACCTGCCCACCCCACAGACGCCAGGTTACCCGGGCAACGGTGAGGGATGTGTGCGAGGTGTTGGGATGCCATTGCTGTTGCCAAGGGAACAGCGGGCCGGTGACATCCTGCAGGTACATAGAGCGGGGGGGGGGGACCCCAGCCTGAAGCCCCCCAGCACCACATCCCCTGCAGAGGGGCCGAGCCCAAGGTTTGGGAGCACTGATCAACCAAACTGCATGACCCCAATACTGAACCATGGGCCAGACCCCAAAAAATCCATCGGTCAGAACTCAAAGCCCACAGATCTCACCCCAGAATTCACGGATCAGACCCCAAAATCCACCAGCCAGATCCCAAAGCCCATCCACGGACCCAACCCCAAAGTCCATCAGCCAGACCTCGAAACCCACAGACCTGACCCCAAAGTTCTTGGACCAGACCCCAGAATCCATCAGCCAGACCCCAATGGCACAACGGGGCCGGTGACATCCTGCAGGTACAGGGAGATGGCAAGGGGCCCCCAGCC